TATTACCAACACCAACAACGCAATCTACAGCAACTACAACTAATCCACCATCCAAGCCCATAATTGAAAGACCAAGACGATCAACAGCCAACTACAACAGAAGCTACGCACTCAGCGGACGAGGGCGAAAGGAGGGACGTGATAGCAGGGGGACGGCCGAGTTGAGTTCAATGGACCCGGTCAGGCGGGATGGACGAGACAGAGAGAGTACAGAGGAAGCGGAGGATGGAACGGACGGCGGAGGGAGCAGTGAGTCGGAGAGCGGTGATGGGAGTGGTGGTGAGAGTGCCGGTGAGAGTGTTAGTGTTGTGCGTAGGTTTCGTGGTAGCAAGTCTTCAGTGTACAATCATCTGCTGGCTAGTCCTGATTGTTGCGGTGCGTATTCTGACTCTTCGTTCACTGTATTGTGCCGTGGTCGTCATGGTTATGGACTACAGTTAAAAGTGTTGGAAGCTATCTATCAGCGTCTGTACAAGCCTAATTTGTGTGTACAGAAAGATAGTATAATTGGGTTGAAATTGTTCAAGTAACGTGTCGTGTTTAGTGCGGCCAAGCTTGGCCGTTAATGTTCTAGATTTAATGCTCTGCTGTTATGTGTTATCACGTTGTCTTTCCTTCCTTTCTCCTTTGTTCATTTCTCGCTTTGATTGTTAAAATTCACACTTGTAAATTTCACTATTGTTGCTCTTAGTGTTATTTCTCTAACTTAGATTTTCTATAATAGTTCAATTTTTGTTTCAGTGTCCTTTAGTACAACGACGATTCCTGATGAGTGTTGTACGAAAACTTGTTTGAATCCCTTTCTTTCTCTACACAATTTCTTCACATTTTTCATCGTTTTATTGCACATTGTCTCCACAGTTTTACAATACATGAATACAGTGTACACAAATGTCGATCCAGCTTGTATTACTGATTGCGGTTATCAAATTGTTGTCTCCTCGCCGTTTGTTCAAATATTCCATATGTTCTTGGTTTAGTTTTTGGCCTTTTTCGTGCTTTGGAGTTTTAAATAACATTTTCCTCAGTGTCGTGGACATTGGAAAAAAAAAGATAGCGCAACGCACATGGCGAATCAAGGTGCCCCGGAGTATGCCTTGATGGCAGCCGGGCGCGGGCGGTGGTCTAGTGGAGCTTACCGCACGTGCGTTCGCAGGCCTGCAGGCATGCCATGCGCTACTGAGCCACGGGTCGCAAGCACCGCACGCCCCTGGCCCCCGGCCCCTTTTCTTGGAACCATGGGCTCGGCCGATGGGCATGGGCACGAAATCCGCATGGTGCAAATCCATGGGCTACCGCAGACAACAATGAATAATCTTTACTTACTCTTTACTTACTCCGGCAAGGTACGTTCGGGCCTGATTGGAAATTTTTATTTCCATTGCTATCAGGTTCGGCCTCATTTCCTCTGTGCTGCGCTGACGAGTCCACAAAGGACGAAACAGTTCTGTCCGCAGATTGAGTATTTCGCTCCTGCTCTTGTAGCAGTTGAGCACTCTTGCGTGGGGTAGTGCCTTTGCTGTTTGCATTATGCAGAGCTCACTGACTTGTCAGTTTGAGCACTCTGGCAAGGTACGTTCGGGCCTGATTGGAAATTTTTATTTCCATTGCTATCAGGTTCGGCCTCATTTCCTCTGTGCTGCGCTGACGAGTCCACAAAGAACGAAACAGTTCTGTCCGCAGATTGAGTAATCTTTACTTATAAAGAAGAGGCACCTGTGACGTGTGTCTGTGTGTCACGCTCAGGCCATCCTGCCTGCCTGCGGAGCAGCACTGCCCTGAGCACGCGAAGTGTGCGAACAGTGTAGCACAGCGTAGCTAGCGGCCGCAGAAGCACTGAGCACGCGAAGCGTGCGAATCGTGTAGCTAGCGGAAGCAGCCACCGAAGCACTGAGCACGCGAAGCGTGCGCGTGCGAATCGAGTAGCCACCACCACGTGCTGAGCACGCGAAGCGTGCGAACAGTGTAGGTAGCAGACACGATCAGTACGAGTAGCAGTAGCAGCCGCGCGCAGAAGCACTGAGCACGCGAAGCGTGCGAATCATGTAGCCACCTAGCCTAGGCCATAGGTAGCACTAGCAGCCGCACAAGCGCTGCGGACCACGTGAACCGTTCTCTGCAAATAGAAACATCTGCAACAAAACAGATCTGCAGTGAAGAGCGCATCGCACTTCTTTTGTTCGTAAGTTTATGAATTTTTTGAGCCGCTTCATCCGCCACCAGGTGATGAACAACCCTGACCAGCCTCCGGAAGGCGTAACAGACGTCCCTCCTTCTCCTTCCAACGATGAAGAACCTCCCTCACCAGGACTTCAGCGGTCTGGCCACCACCACGTGCTGAGCACGTGCGCTGTTCATGTACTTGCTTCACCTGCATGCCACATTCGGCCAGGCAACGCTGGCCGGGGGTGCTACTAGTAATATTGTAATTGTGGGTTATAATGGTAAAATTGTGGGTTCTACCGAGTACTTAGTGATAGTAGTAGTAGTAGTGCTCTCTAGGGCATAGTTTTTCTTTGTCATCATCTCGTGTAATGGTGAAAATGTGATCTAAAGTTTGTTTTCCGGTGTCCTGAAGTTTTTCTTTTGTATGAATCTCAATTCTATGGTTTCATTTCTGGCGGTGTTCAAGCAGTTTTGGTTTGGATGTTTTTCTTTCCTTTCCTCCCCCTTTTTTCATGTATAAACATTGCTGTTGCCATTAATATTTGTTATCTTTCAATTGTGTTACAATTTTGCTGTTCACCTTTCGAATTCATTGCCCTCCTTGCATTCACATCTTCATTGCTTTTTGCGTTCAATAAAAACACAATTTGTATAAATGTATATTTTTATTTGAATTCGCAAGTACACACGGGCTACAAGCCCAATTACATGGAAGCGAATGCCATAATGAGGCCAATTAAGAAAAAAAGGTGGAGGAAGGAGGAGGACGGTAGCAAAGCAACAGGGAGGAAAATTCAGGAGCAAAATCAACAATTGCACAAATGTGAGGGTACCTGTGGAGCGATAAAAGGCCAAGCAAACAGAAGAAAGGAAATCACAAGCCAATACACGCTAAACTGCGCTTGAGTTATAATGAAGGGGAAAACCGGAGCTCAAGAATATTATAACATACAAAGTCATAATAAGAAGTCAACTGGATGAGAAGTAGCACAAGCAAACATTTCCTGACAACGAGAGGGGCTGTAACTACAGCCACAGCAGTAGCTGCTGAAGCAGCAGCAGCAGCAGCATCAACAACAACAACAACAACAACAACAACAACCACAACAACAACAACAACAACAACAACAACAACAACAACAACAACAACAACAACAACAACAACAACAACAACAACAACAACAACAACAACAACAACAACAACAACAACAACAACAACAACAACAACAACAACAACAACAACAACAACAACAACAACAACAACAACAACAACAACAACAACAACAACAACAACAACAACAACAACAACAACAACAACAACAACAACAACAACAACAACAACAACAACAACAACAACAACAACAACAACAACAACAACAACAACAACAACAACAACAACAACAACAACAACAACAACAACAACAAAAACAACAACAACAACAACAACAACAACAACAACAACAACAACAACAAAAACAACAACAACAACAACAACAACAACAACAACAACAACAACAACAACAACAACAACAACAACAACAACAACAACAACAACAACAACAACAACAACAACAACAACAACAACAACAACAACAACAACAACAACAACAACAGCAGCAGCAGCAGCAGCAGCGCCGTGCAGACTACTCCAAGGGGAGTATGGGACTGTGAACACAGAAGGCGGGAGAATTCATGGATTTAGTAGTAGTAGTACAGTAGTAGAATTTATTATTGTTTAGGGAAATCCCTACAGACGTTGCCGTCTTTTTACAGGGAACCCTAACTGGCCTAAGTGCTCTTTGCAGAGCGAAATGAAAGCGAGATCAGGCAGTTGCCATAGCAATGTACTGGTACACCCAGCCTTTATCATTTTTACATGACCCCATGGCCCGTCTTTCAAACGCTCTTTCATAGCCGATAGATGGCGTTATTAATTTTGTTCCTATCATACTAAGTATGTTTCAGATGGGCGGCCTTAGACGGCCCAGTCTGATCATTTCACACGAACTATGTTATACGGTAATATGACATCATGATCACAATAATCATGTCGTGCTCACGTTCAATAATATGAGCTCGCGACACCCCACTGGCGCATCTCTTCCGTGGTGTGAGGGTTCACTATAACTATAACGTATAGTTCACACATACAGTGTACTAAATAGAGGTTGCGACTTCGGCGATGATTTTGTTTAGGAATGGGTTGCTCTTCAGGCAAAATCTTCCTCAGCCTACTCAAGCTCAACTGATGAGGGGTGAATTCCCCGAAACACTGTGTATTGAGCAGGGAGTGGTGCTTTCTTGCAGGTTTGCCGAGGGGAATGTGCGACGTGCTCCTCATGTGCTCTGGATGGCAGTCGTGAGTCAGTCAAGTGTCAAGTCGTCGGCGGAATAGCGAGAGCTCCGGTGTGGGAGCAAACCCATTCCTATACAGTCTACTGTATTGTAAAACATACCTCGGTTACCTGCACGACACATGCGTACAGTTTACGAGACGCCATACGCTGCACATCATAACTGTATACATGTACTTGTATTATTGAACTACTGTTGACATTATTTCTTGACTGCTAAACACGAACACTTACTTCGATTGGTCGCATACGTCTCACGCGACAATCCTCCACAAATAATTGTTTTGTCAATCTTCCCACTCTCGATGACCTCGCCCCCCCCCCCCCCAACCCCCCACAACCCACGGTTAACTACATGTACATGTAGATACCCACTTAGGCTATTCTCGTAATCTAATGGTTGGCTGTTTTTTTTAATCCGCTGCCACCATGTTTCCACACATTGTTACTACCTCCATCGCATGTCACGTAGTTCCTCACTCTCGAGGCCAGACATTGCTCAATGTAAATAGTAGCTGTGTAGAATTTTCTGTGCTCATTCCTACCAAGTAGTTCCGTTGAAAAGGTGAAGAAATTTCGTTGAGGTACAATGTAGTTCTTTGTGAAGAGAAAATTATCTTCGGCAGTTGAACATCGGCAGTTGGACATCTGCGCGTTTACCCTAGGATAAACTCCACTTGATACCAGTTGACACCGGAGGTAAGACGTAACTCCAGCTTGTTTTTTCTTTAATTTTTGGAGGGTTTGTACTTAACGTTTCTTCAGAATTCCCAAACTCCATTGCAGCGTATTTCTTGCACTTGAAAACACCGCCATTCCGGCAACAGGCTCTCAGCTGCAATGCCCTGATGATGCCCAATGGGCGAAATATTGGCAAAGTTATTTATTTGGTGCAGCTGAGAGCCTGTTGCCGGAATGGCGGTGTTTTCAAATGGTATGTACGTAACTAATAAAAAAACTGCGTGATCAAATTGAGGCGCTTGTAGTTGTTCAGGTTTGTAGATGAAATTCAAGTTTTTTTTGCCCAGTACAGTGCGGATCGGCTATAGGGTTGTCGGCTATAGTAATATTATACCTCTTCTATTGATCGTATTCTCAAATTCATTTTCGTAAACCATCCCTTTCTATACATGTAAACCACCCCTTTTATCGGTTCGGCTATAGTAATCCAGTAAAACCTGTGACTACCGACCACCTCTTGGTGCCAGCAAAAGCGGTCTTTAGTAGTAGGTGGTCTTTAGTTAGAGGTTTGCACCGTGCGACCATATAGGGATCCCAGTATATGATATGCAAATCAAAATGCAGCTAGTACAATTCCCCAGGACTTGCGCAATGCCATTCTTATTTCAGGTCAAACAACACTTGGAGAGAAAGACGGAGAGATGGAGAGAGGCAAAAGAGAGAGAGAGAGAATATAAAAAATTTGCAGACGTCAAATTCAGCTGCTGCTTCTGAAGCCAGGAGTCAAACGTTCCCTGTAGAAGTTTCGGTTTGCGCTGGGCTTCAAATTTGTTCATCCGATCAATCGTACCGACTATCCTTGTTTTGACTTCTCGATTGTTCGAACGCAATCCTTCAGCATCAGGACCTTGCGGTGCTGCTTTGTTTCTGGATTCCTTGACGCCATCGTCGATTCATGTGTATGACTGGGGTGACAAAGCCGCTCAGTCTTCGCTTCTCCTCCGAGTAGTAACATCGAGCTGAGAGCGCTTTCGATGCGTTCTCCAAGACGTTTCCTATCATGTTTATTCTTGACAGCGCTTGGAATTCTCACAGGTGTAGTGCAGTCCACACCGACTCCACAGTCAAAATGGCCTGCGTTCATTTTTTCAGCTGTATACCGAAAGATTCCTTTCAGGACCATGGAAAATCAGCAAAATTTGAAGAAGGAGCTTCGAGCAACATTTGATTTCCTACATCGCGGTCGCTAGTTACGGGTCAAAAATCGTCTTTGGGACAAGAAAAGGCGGTCGCTGGTCGCGTTCAGCAGGTAGTCGCTAGTCACAGTGCATTTTGAATGTGAGACCGTCCGTGCCTGGCCAAGTGGTCGGTAGTACCAGGCTGGTCGCTAGTCACGTGGTCTTTAGTTACAGGTTTTACTGTAATCGTACTACAGTGCTGGCAACTGAAATCCGACCCTCTAGCGGTGCGCTACGCCCGTTAGCGATTCGTACGAGGCGCTAGGGGGTCGGATTTCAGTTGCCAGCACTGTAGTTTACGTGACAACGTCATCAACGACAAACGAGTTAGTTGCCATGGCTACCCACTACATTGTTGTATATGTACATGACGTCATACTGCCGACAACTCCGTCACTTAGTACAGTAGCTAGACCACGCCTGCTGGCACTTTGGAGTACAGTACGGATCGGCTATAGCGTTGGTGTTTGATTTTCGTGAAAATATCACTATAGGCGATATATTACTATAGGCGATATGCATACTTAGGTATGGCTGACAAATGCGTGTATGGTGTCATTCGAATCAGTGCAGCGTGCAGAAGCGTGCTGTGCATATGACTGTGCAATACGCGCAGTGCAGAGCTACTTCCTGCGGAAACAAAAACTTCGTGATTTTTTGACATGAGTTTTCATGGAGTTGCTGTGCTCAACAAATGTGTTCTTTTGGAAGAGAAACACTTCAACACATTCAATCGACATAACAATATCTACAGGATCGATTAGTGGGAGTAGAGTCTCAGTCTGGGTCGCCATCGCTCGACTCATCACCGGTGAAACCGTTCCAAGTAGTAGGTCGATCGTGATGTCGTATTTCACGGAGAAGCTTCTCCGCGTCCCTGATCGTCTTCGCTGTTACCTGAATGCCTTCTCCAACATCTCGGCGGAGACCACGATAGCGCTTCAGTGCTGGTACTAATTACTGCCTCCGATCTCGCTCGAGGATGCCCCGGAACAAGCACAGCCCACGCCAAACATTTCGAATTATTTCCTCCGAGGGATATCATAGTCGTACCAGCGCTTCCTGGCTGCCGCGATCAGATCTCGCCATGTAGATCTACGATGTATAATATTTTATGATCATCACTATAGCCGATGAAAAATGTATGCAATAAGATCATTTTGACAAAGAAACTGTATCATTATAGCCGATATATTACTATAGCCGATTATTACTATAGCCGATCCGATATGTATAGAAAGGGGTGGTTTACGAAAATGAATTTGAGAATACGATCACTATAAGAGGTATATTACTATAGCCGACCACCCTATAGCCGATCCGCACTGTACTCGAGTTTCGGCCCTGAAACGTGACATGCGAACATGCTTGCAACACGCATGGTCGCGCATATCAACGTATAGGCACGCATAGGTAGGCAATAATGCGCTGTGGACACTGGCCAGAGCCAAACGCTACTACAGTACTATTCGTAAAGACTTATGCATACATGTAGCTACGGAACTAATAAATATTATACTAGGAATTATATCACTCTTCCAGCATTTTCGACGACACACTCACTACACGGATGGCATGACAACACACTCACTACACGGATGGCATGACAACACCTTGACTTGCGCAATTGCTGTGTCGTCTTCTTTCCTTTTCTTTCTTTGTACTCTTGTGGTCTTTCCCGAATCATGAATAATCTCAAGTAGGAGATCCCTTCGACAGGCGTAGAGCCTCTGGGTAACGTTAATCCTTGAAAAACTCGGATACGGAGCCAGAAATACATGTAAAAAAAGAGAGAATAAAATACATGAGGAAGAGTATGCAGCATCTCTTCACGACTGTAACAAGATGATAAAATCCATACTGGTCATGACTTCGTAACATGTATAATGTACAAATGTAAGGTAGATTCTCCATGACATGTACACGGAGTTTTGCGGACTACCCGCCACTATCTCGTCCGCCCCGGGATACCTGATGAAGGCTGATCCACTCGCATCTTCTGCTACATGTACTGTGTCAGTGTGAGAAAGAACTTTGAATAAAACAAGTTCGAGCATACAATACTGTATTGCCATGATTTCTATCCTGCTTTTCATTGAAAACACTATCCGCATAACCTCCGAACCCTTTACCATGCAGACCACCAGCACTGATCAGGTGCATTGTACACAATTGTATAGCCTACATACTAGAACTGTGGTAGAAGCGTTTAGTTATGCTCCTACCTCCGACAGGATGCCAAATTATGCTCTAAATTTTCAACCACCAAACTATGCCAATAATTATGCCGGCATAATCCGCCGGTGCCTACAGTCTCCGGCTAGCTGTATGCTCAGTCTACATTCTTGATCTTATCTTTTCTTTTCTTTTTTTCTCTTTTTCTTTTTAATGTTTTACTGCCAGATAGCCCTTGGCGGATTATGCCGGCATAAGATTTGGCATAATCTTGGGATTTCGTCGAAAAACTATGCTCCGGCATATTATACGGATTCCAACGTGTAAGGTCGGCATAATCTTTCGGTTTAGACAAAAATTATGCTTAGGGGCATAATACAGCTTTGTCAGAAAGGCTGCAAATGTTTTTTTAAATACCCCAGTTACGACTCCTTGTCATAGCCCTTGGCGGATTATGCCGGCATAATATTTGGCATAATCTTGGGATTTCGTCCAAAAATTATGCTCCAGCATAATATTCGGATTCCAACGTGTAAGGTCGGCATAATCTTTCGGTTTAGACAAAAATTAAGCTTAGGGCATGGCCGTGTATGTATGCGTGGTTTCTCAATCCTCTATGTACAGCGTGAATACATACTGGAACCGAGCATAATTCAGCATATTGTTGGCATAATTGTGGCATAATGAAAAGCATAATTTGATGATTGGCCGAGCATAGTCCACCAATGGCTACTGCCAGAAGTCATCTTCATATAAGGAGGCAGATATGCCTGTTTGTTGTATGACTTTAAATAAATCCAACCAACCAACCAACACGTAGCCAAAGGTCAAATCTGTACACGACACAGTTATGCTAGTTTTAATGCTAGCATTACCCGCTGATGCCTAGCCGCTAGAGAGGAACAAGGGGGAAAAGTTCTGAACACAGCCCAACACCTGTGCCTCACTGTATGACATTGAGACCAAAGATCAAAAGGCAAAGCCGCAGTGGTAGGTAGCATGATGTGTAATTCAAAGTTGAAGACAGGCAGCGCATGTCCATTACTAGTCTATAGAGCCTAGGGCCCTAGGTTAGAGGGATAGAATAGAGTAGAATGCAGTTAATTTACACACCACCTCCTTTGATCCAAGCATTAACTCCGCAAGTATAAGTTCAATGTTCACCTCATTTACAAAAACCGCCGCCTGGGCAACAAAATAGTTGCCTATAAATGAATTACAATTTTCTTCTGTTTTCTTCTTCTAGTTTACATTAAAAAACATTATAATAATAATAGTAGAAAGGAAAAGGACATATGGAAACGAGTTAAGAGTAACTCTCCACCACTGTAACTAGATACTATATACAGTCAGAAAGTGCAACAACTAGGCACAAAACGGACAGAGTACTGAGACCTTCGACGTCCTGACACCTAGCTTTAACACATCTCCGTAGCGCTAACCGACAGCCTTCCAACTTGGAAGGTTCAAGGTTATGGAAAGACCAAAGAGGGGAAGGCAAGCGCAACGAAAACGAGCACAAGCTACAGTCCCAACGGAACAAAGAATGTCGATTGTCACTGGACGATGACGAGACCAGTAGGCGATTTGACAAAGCGGTCTAACTACAATTCGAAGCAGCAAAGCAGCACACCACCCAACTTGGGTGGGTCAAAAATATCAAAGATAAGTTAAGAAGGGGGAAGCTTTGCGAGAACGAACTGTACAAGCCGAAATCTAAACTCCTACAGTACTCCTCATGTGATGGATTAGTTGACTACAAAACAAGTTGTTTCACACGACGTACGTTTCGCCGTATGGTTCGTGACGGCTCATCAGGTGTGCAATTTGAAACTCGGGTATTGAGCCAATAATAAAAGTAGAAAGGAAAAGGACATATGGAAACGAGTTAAGAGTAACTCTCCACCACTGTAACATGATACTATATACAGTACGAAAGTGCAACAACTAGGCACAAAACTGACAGAGTACTGAGACATTCGACGTCCTGACACCTAGCTTCAACACATCTCCGTAGCGCTAACCGACAGCCTTCCAACTTGGAAGGTTCAAGGTTATGGAAAGACCAAAGAGAGCTTTCCCTCAAACCAGTCAATATTTTATGACTTGGGGCTCCCCGCGTGCTAGTTTGTACGTGAAGTGTGTGGGTTACAGTGAGGGCTGCGTCCCACCCGCCTGTGTGGATTCACAGGAAGTGTGAGTTACGAAGTCTGAAGAAAATGTTGAACGGCCCCTGCTGGGATGACGACTACACCATAGCTCAGTGGTTAGAGCATCGCTGGCTACAAGCGAGGGTCCCTGGTTCGAGTCCTGGTGGTGACAGTCAATTTTTTCTTCAGACTTTTCCCGTTTGTCTCTTTCCCTCAAACCAGTCAATATTTTATGACTTGGGGCTCCCCGCGTGCTAGTTTGTACGTGAAGTGTGTGGGTTACAGTGAGGGCTGCGTCCCACCCGCCTGTGTGGATTCACAGGAAGTGTGAGTTACGAAGTCTGAAGAAAATGTTGAACGGCCCCTGCTGGAATGACGACTACACCATAGCTCAGTGGTTAGAGCATCGCTGGCTACAAGCGAGGGTCCCTGGTTCGAGTCCTGGTGGTGACAGTCAATTTTTTCTTCAGACTTTTCCCGTTTGTCTCTTTCCCTCAAACCAGTCAATATTTTATGACTTGGGGCTCCCCGCGTGCTAGTTTGTACGTGAAGTGTGTGGGTTACAGTGAGGGCTGCGTCCCACCCGCCTGTGTGGATTCACAGGAAGTGTGAGTTACGAAGTCTGAAGAAAATGTTGAACGGCCCCTGCTGGGATGACGACTACACCATAGCTCAGTGGTTAGAGCATCGCTGGCTACAAGCGAGGGTCCCTGGTTCGAGTCCTGGTGGTGACAGTCAATTTTTTCTTCAGACTTTTCCCGTTTGTCTCTTTCCCTCAAACCAGTCATGTAGATATAATAATAATATTATTATATTATTAACTGGTTTGAGGGAAATTATTATATTAACTGGTTTTAAAATAATAATTACTATGATTGTATTTTTCATGGTTCCTTACAGGCTAGTACAACTCATCAACAAAAGATGCGATTGTTCAAACCATCCATACAAGGCTATGAAGCTCAGGCCCCGATAGAAGAGGCAAGCAACAATGTGGAAATCTCCGATGCGCCGACTGGTTACGATAATATGCAGGACTTGAACATTTCGCTGGGTTGTACTGCCGTGCCTATTTCATTCCCGCCTGACAGTAGTATTATGCAGGAGATGGAGGAATTACTAGCCCACGCTCCAAACGCCTGGGGCACACTAGCGGTGCATGGAGACCTGGGCTTGGCTGCAGGGGATGAAGAGCTGATGGATTTCCTAGTCGAATTGCTACAAGCCGAAAGTCCGGGAAGTGAAATGACTGGCCCAGCAGATGATCAAGTGCCAGTAAGCTCAACAGCTTCCAACATGACTTCTTCCGGCAGTGCTCATGCTGAGTCTGCCACTGCGGATAAACAACAGCAGGAGCAAGGTACCGTCTCAGACCATCCGTTTCCTGGTATTCCAACGAATTTGAATGCACATGGTTCCGATTCCACCGGGCCACCATCACTGCCAGGACCTGACCATATGCAAACTCCCCGCAATCACGAGCAAGGGATGAATGGAGGTGTTAACGTCGTGACGTCATCACTGCATGCTACGTCACTACCAATGAAGGAGCGGCCCTTTGCGTGTAGTCGTGAAGGAATACCGGGAAATGTGAATGCACATGGTTCCGATTCCACCGGGCCACCATCACTGCTAGGTCCTGACCATATACAAACTCCCCACAATCACGAGCAAGGGATGAATGGAGGTGTTAACGTCGTGACGTCATCACTGCTTCCTACGTCACCACTACTGAAGAAGCGGCCCTTTGCGTGTGGTCATGAAGGCTGCAGTCGCCGCTTCCCACGCAAAGACGAGCTGAACCGCCACACACGTACGCATACAGGCGAAAAGCGGTTTCAATGCGAAATTTGCAATACATGGTTTTCAAGGAAGGACCATCTCACGACACACTTCCGCACACATACCGGGGAGAAGCCATATCATTGTCCGCATTGCCCTAGTCAGTTTGCCCGGTCTGACGGAAGGCTACGCCATAAGAAAAAAGTTCACAAATTGCTAGAATCAAGCGCAGCATTAGGAGTGCAGCACGGACACTCACCAGGTCTCGGTGGTACGCCTTTGGCTACAAACATGGTGAGCTTGGCATCACTGCCCGCACTGAGTACAGCCAGCCAGTTCTCTGCCACAGCAACTCCGCCGGCTAGTACTAGTAGTGCAGCCTCCGCTAGACCTTTTAATGGGACTGCTGCATCGATGGGCACCGCCGCCGCCGCCGCCGCGACACAGCATCATAATTATTCCATGGCTGTCTCATCCACGGTAAACGTACGGCAGCCGCAGGAGGAACATCATTTGCAGCAGCAGCCACAAGGCCAGCAGTACCAGAACCGTCAGCATCTGGCTCCAGATGTGGTTCCAGAACCAGAGCAGAGTGCTGGCATGATTGGTCAAGCGGACATTCCTCGTGGATAACTTCGGCTCAGTATCCAAAACATCGTCTAATCGCATAAGGACAACATATGCTGCGTTGTGGACTGGTCTGGACTGGCATGCTATTGCCAATGTAGTGTATATTTAGTGTATGTGTATGTGTATGTGAGAAAAGGGAGAGAGAGTGTGGGTGTATGTGGGTGTAATGGTGTGGGCATGTGTGGATTTGGCATTTAAAAATCCCCAGCTCTATTCTATATCATTAGCGCTGGAACTGCTGCTGCATAGCCCCAAGTCTGAAGACTTGGCAACTTTACGCTCTCTTTTTCATTGCCAAGTCACCTAGGAGTGAAACATTTCTTCGTACTGAATGTAAAGCTGTGTAAATACAGGTGATCGTCTCTGCTGCTGATGTTGCTGCTAGCCTTTTTAGCGTGACTCTGTTTCCGCTGCTGTGCTAATGTTGTTGATAAAACTCAATTATTTTTGTTTGCTCCTGTTTTGGGCTTTGGATGATCCCTATATCATGATACCATACGCGTTGTTGTCATTCATTCAATTCTTCATATGAACTGTATTGCACCGTCTAGAGCCGTTTCGGCCAAAAGTTTTGTCTGGCACCTTTGAATTGACTCAGCTGTGGGTTTGTGCTCGTGCGGTACTCAGGAGTTTCACACCGTACGCCCGTGTAAAACAAGGTTATCATGCATGTAAGTCAAACTGATAGTAACGACTCTAAAATACGAAAAACATGCAGCCATTGCAAAGACGTTTCTATCGGTTTGAATTAACCCAAATGATGGCGGAGGCAAAAAGGATAGGCAGGGCTTTGAACTTTTTGACAAGTTCTCTTGTTCGTTGTTTCGGGTGGTTTCGCTCATCACCACTACCATGTTACAGGGTGGGTCGGTTGTTTGTTTGGTTTCTAATAGCATGCCATGGTGCATAATGTCATACACTATGTCTTGAACAATCGACGTGGACTCAATAACTCAACATACATCCGGTATTATGGTGTTGAGTAATATGTGCATTCTTCATGGTACATGTGCACAATGTCATGCACTTATAGTTAAATCATGTCATGTACTCTGAAGACAGTACGATTACACTTTTACGTACATGTAAAAGTTTGGTTTGTGAGCAACACTGGCTCACACTCAATCACTGCTTTTCACTAGAAAAATATTTTAATTCAACGTTTCGGTTATGAAATAACCTTCATCAGGAATGAAGTGGGCCCACCGGTTAGTACATGTGTGTTTTGGAATTACCGGTAACGTTTGTACATGTACATGGTACACATGCATATGTATAATATTCAATCTCCAGACTGTTAGCTGTTTCGACCATATTACGTCTCGTCAACGCAGCTCGCAGCTACTGGCCTACCAGATCGAAATGAAGTATAACGAACGGCACAGGTTTTTAACTGGCAGAAAGGATCAAAGAGAGAGAAAGTTTTCTTTTTGCTCTAACTGCGTGTTACTGCGATCAACCCGGTGAGCTTTGCACACGGGCAGATTTCTGTGACGCTGGCCAGAAATAGTGCTGCGCCAAGCCTATGCGAGGCTGAAGGAGCGTAGTACTTAAGTTCATATCAGATACGTGCAAACACAAGTCACAGATTACCACGAATCTTCATTACCAAAATGAATTCTTTTTTTTAAGAGAAGAAAACACATGAGAACGTGTTAAGCAGCAACTATCCAAGACCGTAACAAGATGATATCGAGTCAGAACGTGTGATAATAGGGCACAAAACTGACCGCCAAGTGAGACATTTTTTTGAGCGACCTGACACCTAGCTCTAACACATCTCCAGTGCGCAAACCAACAGCCTTCTGTCTGAAGTAGACAAGACGCACAGTGAGCTGTCCGGTTTGCTAGAGTGTTCAATGAAACAAAAACAAAAAAACAAAAAACAAAAAAAATGTATCCATCCATGTTCTTGGTGTCAATGGTATCGGATTTTTCTCTAGATCTTTGCATTAGCCTTACCGTGCAAAGAAAACGAGTCTGTGCAAAAGGTGAAACGTGCACTGTCTTCTTTCTTTGATACATGTATGCCTATATGGACAGATTGATGTCGATGAAGATTCTGGTGCCCTGCGTAGGTGGATATGTGGGCACATTCGTCACAAGAAGCACTAAGATGACTAAAATACACGTACATGTGCATGTACATGTACACACACAACAGTGCAAAAGGCTGTGTTAGCTGTAACTGAAAAGGTGTGCAATATCTTACGGCCGATGCCCGGTGACAAACAAGGCTGTATTATTCTTTTTAGCAAAGAGTATGTCCAGGCTGTATGCACCGAGCGCACCATAGTCTGCAGTGAAAACTGTATAAGCACCTACACTGTACTTTTGTGATCTCAGCTCAAAGAGGAGCAAATCATTAGCACAGTCTGTAAAGAAATTTATTACTACCGCATTCTTTCTCCGTTCTTAACGTTCAAGCAGTAACCGCTGCATTTTGGCCGCTCAGTAACTATTAGTGCTTGCACTCCGTTTCCCACACGCGCACGCACACTTCCCCGCACGCACACTAGCACATGCATGCGTGTACTTACATACACCCATCTCGATACACACCTCTATCCGGTTGTGCACTTTCATTTCTCTGGGGGGTTTTTTCTTTTCCTTTTTTCACAACCATCACATGTAGCAGAGCTAGAAGCGGAAGGTTAGCATTTGCTGCCTTGAAAGCAAACTGTTCTATTATCATTGTTATTATTATTATTCTTTCTACAGCAAGAGAAATTCCATCTTCATAGAGTTCTAAAACTGTTACTGTGTAGTCTGCTTACTATTGGTCTAATTCTATTATCATAATTATTATTAATTATACATTATTATTATTAAATACGTACAGAATTATTCTCCTTTTTCTGCTTTTGTGCCTTTTTAAAGTTCGCTATAGACGTGTAGTTTCCCTTCATGTGTGACTTACGGGTACATATACATGATTGTATCATATTGGTTCAATATGTACTGACTATCCTTGTCTTTAGACTGATCACTAACTCTGTGTTATGCTTTCCTTTGGATTGGGGATTGCTTTGGTTGATTAGTCTACTCTTAAAATCGTGCTTGTCAGCACAAGAGGCTTTTAGACATTGCCCATCATGCAGGATGGCTGCATTACTTGTTTTTTTGGCAAGACAAACACTTTTAAAACAACCAACCAAGTCTTGATGTCAGGGTAGTGGGTTTGATCCGTGCCCCGCTTCAGGCACCTTTAATACAAATAGCTACTACTGGGTTGCTCATAACGGATTTTAAAGGCCACTTCTAAGAAGCACCGAGCACAAGAAGCAGAACAACTATTTAGTGAGATCAGTAGAACATACATGTAGGCTTGTTTCCATCAGAGTGTAACCTATTACCACTGTTCGGTTGATATGCTCCCTGCCGACAGTGCACTAAGCACAGACCGCCAATTGCGAAGCATCATCTCTCACGGAAGGTGCTGAGAGTGATCTTCCCCCTATAGTCATTGCCGATAAAGCACATGAATTGCTGGACAAGGGTGCCATCTTGTTGACGACAGTGCACGATTTGTATACAGAGAAATGCACCCAACTGCTGACCCCAAGCCAGCGGCATACGTGCTCGGCAAATTGAAGTTGACCCTGGAGCACCACTTGCACGTCATTCCACCCAAGTCGCGGAAGGATGGCACATTGCTGCTACGCAAGGGATGTAATGCTGAGCAGGCACTACATATGATCCTTTCTGCAGAGCGTAAACACAAGATAAAGCAAACACCAACAAAGCTGGAAGACGTCACTTTGCCATGCTCACAGCACAATTGATAGCCAGCAACCAAATAATACAATTACACTCAAACGTCTCTTATCCGGACGCCTCAGATACGGGCACGTCTCTCTACCGGGCACCTTTAGCAGGTGCGTCCGCAATGTAGTTAAACAAGTAGGGGGCGGACCTCAGCCCGAATGGCAGTACTTTGGCATAGTAGAATTGGCCCTGCCACTGGAAACCCAACAAATGGTATGCAGTGGGTGCGACAGGGACCATTCGAAATGCATTGCGTATGTCGAGCTTCGCCATCAAGGCACTGGTACCTTGACGTTGCAGAAGCTCAATGGCATCGTCCACTGTGACATAATGTAGGGAGAACGAATCCTTGTTTATTCCATCATTGACAGACATACGATCAGGGTAAGACAGGTGGTGAATGAGGCGGAATTTCCCGTTGTTCTTGGGCACTACGCCAAGCGGAGAGCATACAAATGGGTGGAAAGGCTGGACAGAGAAAGGACCGGTCGATTCGTCACGTCGGACCCGGTCAGCAATTTGTTGTTGTACAAACTGAGCATGTTCAATGGCAGTTGGGAGGTTGCCAGAGATGATAGATACAGAAGCACCAGAGTGGCCAATGTGGAACCCGTGTTGCAGCCATTAAGGATAAAGTCAGAGAGGACACGATTAGAAATACGGGGCAAAAGAGTCATTAGGCGGGCTATGTACAGAGGCGTGGGGAGACTACTTCGCTGCGACAGGCTTGTCCGTCTGGCGGGGTCCCCGGCGACCGTCGTTGGTGCAGCGAGCGGCGGGATGACCTCGGTCGCCGCAAGTTGAGCAGACGTGCTAGCGTTCACAGGGCTGGTGTTGGCATGGGCGGCCACGGTTGAAGTTGAGGCAGATCTGGCGGGTGCTGCCCGCCCCGGCCAGAAATGGCTGCGTACTTCGGCTGGTGCTGGTGCAAGCTGGAGCATGTGGCCCTGCCAACTACTGTGGGCAACAGTCACGGCTGTGGTGCGTTGTGCAGCGCGGACATGATGGTCGGGGTGCCCGGATCAGGTGCAGGCTCCAGAGGCTTTGGTCGATTGTGTCCCAACGAGCCAAGGTTGTTGCGGCCGCTGCACGGAAGGCACGGTCATACCCCAGTACAGCTGGGGTCGCAAACTGCTGGTTGGCAGTACAGATAATGTGCTGGTACGTCACCAGCTCCAGTGCTCGGAATGGCACATGTTTCAGTGCGCAGGCCATGTAGATTGTGTAGGCTTCCGGCCAGGCAGTGAAGTCGACAATGGAGCGCTTCTTAGTCACACATAAATTGAGGGACACACGCCGGCCCTCTCCGTTGGCGGTACTGAGCTCCAAGGGCTCGGACCCTGCGCCCACATTCTCCGGGAGGAGATCCTCTAGCTCAATATATTCGCCGCGCGTGATTTTGTCGAGCAACTTACGCGGGACCGTGGGAAC